GATCTTGGTCCAGTCGATAGTGTTTGTAACAGGGTTTACTCTGCGCGTCGTGCCGATCATGGCTTTGTCGACGGTCTCGGGGCCTATTGGACTTGTAAGTGAGGCTGCTCCAGCGCTCCATGATTTTGCGACTTACCCCAGACCAGGTCTGCGCCATAGTGCAAGGCCAGGAGGCGAGAGGGAAGTTCGCCAGAGCGGACCATCGGCGCAAGAACGAGCTTGCCCCTATAGTCCACACCCCGACGAGGGATGGGGACTTTCTTAATTTCTGAACCCATTGTCTTAAGCAGCGTGCGAAGGGACATGGCCAGATGGGAAAGTCAAGCTACATGGCCTTTGACAAAAGAAATGGGAATGGTCGGCGCAATCCGATGGTTGACTCCTTCGGCGATGCCCTGACGGGCTAGAGTGCATAACGGAGAAAAGTATCGCGGTATCTTATCGATAAGTCTCTATCGGGGTGTGGCTCGAGCGAATACCGGCAACATTCACACCGAGGAACCAACGAACTTCAAAGTATCTGAGATGCCACGAATTTATTTTCTACGGAGAACCTGCCATCAGATGTTTAGTTTCTGAACCGGCTAATTATCGCTTGATGTTTTGAGTGCTCTGCTTGCGTTGCTTAACCACTTCGGTGGCTGGCTGTTCACTTGACTCTTAGTCTGGCGTCGTTTGTATGCTGAATTGTGAGGTTGGGGCACTGCTTTTGTCTGCCAGGTATCACTAACAACGTAATACCATTCAGTTCAGCGAGTCACTTGATAAAGCGATGGTTGAATACTGGATTAAAGGGATTGTTTGCTTTGAAGCTTCTAATAGCAATGCAGATGTGTTCTTTCAAAGTCCCAATTGTAATTTGTTGTTGGGGGTTTCGACCATCTCACTTACGATATCGATTCAGCGAACCTCCTGCACAATCATGGCCAAACTTGCACCTTACAGCTGAGCATTTTGGGGCATGTCCCCAAGAAGGAACTTCGATGAGTGTCAATTATCCGTACATTGGGACCAGTTGCGACGCTTGGTACGAAGACACTTGAATCAGCACGAGGATGAAAAGCGCGTATAGTAAACATATCCTGGGAGGTTGACATCACAATCAACCCAAACGGTCACTCTTTGGAAACCTTGACCATGTCATGGACCCGACGCATCTACTTGGTCTATAGGGGTATGTTTAAACTCCCTACCAGGTAGCGTGGGTCTGGCCAGGTTAGAGCAGTGACTCTCAATGGCCAAATTTGTGTTCGACGTGCACAAGAATCTCGAAAGTAATGCTGCTGATGTAATCACGAAAAGTGCGGGCGAAGATACCTGACAAGGGGGTTAAACTTTGGCCTGATACCGTAGTATGCCATCTTCCTGGGTTGAGACTTGAGAAAGACCTTGACACTATGGAGGGGTAACTGAGGGGCAAAGTTGCAGGGATGCATCGGCAAGCTCCAGCCACGGTGAGGCTAGTGAAGAAATTTCTGAAGGTAGCGCTGTCGGCAGGTTGCTGTCGCGACAAAAACAGACTCAACGATTCTCCCGGTTTCTTCCTTGCCCCGTCTTAGCTAGCAGTAATTGTCTATACCTTGCCTCTGCAGCCCCGATAGCCGCGAGTACCTCAAACATCGGAGTTCAGAAAGACCCATCCATCCTATTCGAACAGCTGCAATCCAGCTACGGTTACAACTCCTTAGCGTCTTGCGCAACACTCACCCTCTTTTTGCCATCGAACCTCGGATGAGACCGAAATAGTCTTACCGCAATTGCTGAAGAGTCCTCTGTTGTGTGATATAACTCTAAACGCCACACGCCTAATTCCCCTTTGATCCCCCTTTTCTTCTATTCTCCTTTGACCGATTCCCCTCCGGCCCGGCCCCAAGGTCACTTTGTATACTACACACATGCCGCTGCTACGAGGCATTAAGCTGCAGCTCCCGTCCCTCCGCAAGACAACCATCAGCTCAGTCAGCTCATTCACCCCGGTATCCGTACTGCCTCTGCCTCTACGTCTGCCTTCCACCGCCTGTACTGGTACTGCTACTGGCCGCCGCGCATTCAGTTTTCGCGTGCCTTCCGCCCGACCCAGCCCCGTTTCCACACTCACTCGTCTACCCCCGATTCAGGCCCCGTCCCGGGCCAATCACTCTGCAACCCTGGCGGCACACACCAAGCTAACGTCCGGGTCTCCTACCCCTCCCCCTCCATCCCTCCTTGCATCATCCGCCAACGGCACCCCTCCTCGCCCGTCACAAACTGCTGGTGCCCCCGGTATTAAATCCAAAATTCCCTCCCAACGCACCGCGCAGATTGCCCGTCATTTCTCTACCATCTCAAAGGACTCTGACCCAAGTTTCCATCATCAATCGCCCGCAATGGCTTCCCCTTACTCCCTCCGCAAGGTTGGTGCTGCCAACACCCTCGAGCACCGTGTCTACATCGAGAAGGATGGCGTCCCCGTCTCCCCCTTCCACGACATTCCTCTGTACGCCAACCAGGAGCAGACCATCCTGAACATGGTTGTTGAGATCCCCCGCTGGACCAACGCCAAGCTCGAGGTAAGCATTCGTGTCCTCCCTTCTGCTGTGCTGTGATCATGATTGTTGTTCTGGCATGAACATGAACGAGCACGAACAAAACGGACATGTGACGCTGACCGACAATTCAAACCGCAGATCTCCAAGGAGGAGCTCCTCAACCCCATCAAGCAGGACATCAAGAAGGGCAAGCTTCGCTACGTCCGCAACTGCTTCCCCCACAAGGGCTACCTCTGGAACTACGGTGCCTTCCCCCAGGTACGAAAACAAATGCTCCCTGAAGAGAGATTAGCAGACTAGTCAAGAACACAATATCTAACGCTTTGCTCTAGACCTGGGAGGACCCCAACGCCATCCACCCCGAGACCAAGGCCAAGGGTGACAACGACCCTCTCGATGTCTGCGAGATCGGTGAGCTTGTCGGCTACACTGGCCAGGTCAAGCAGGTCAAGGTCCTCGGTGTCATGGCCCTGCTCGACGAGGAGGAGACCGACTGGAAGGTCATCGTTATCGACGTGAACGACCCGCTCGCTCCCAAGCTCAACGACGTCGAGGACGTCGAGCGCCACCTGCCCGGCCTTCTCCGTGCCACCAACGAGTGGTTCCGCATCTACAAGATCCCCGACGGAAAGCCCGAGAACCAGTTCGCCTTCACCGGCGAGTGCAAGAACAAGAGGTTGGCTATCTCACTGAGCCCATGAGACTATTTGTGTCATTTGAGCTAACAAAATGCTCCAGCTACGCCATGGACGTCGTCCGTGAGTGCGCCGAGGCTTGGGAGAGACTCATCACCGGCAAGACCCAGGCCGGCAGCGTCTCCACGTAAGTTTCTCATCACGCAATACCTTGGCGCAGCAAGCCACCCTTTTCCCTGGAACATTTTTTTTGCTAACAATCATTGTCTTTTAGCGGCAACACCACCGTCCAGCAGTCCCCCGCTCTCATCAGCGCCGGCCAGCTTCCCCCTCTGCCCGCTCACGAGGAGCTCCCCGCCGGAAAGATCGACGCCTCCATCGACAAGTGGTTCTTCATCAGCGGTGCCTCCGCATAAGAGATTCCTCCACTCTCTTGTGTGTGTTTCTTGAACTGGTAGTACCGGCGGATTGCTTTAGCCAAACGAAAGCTCAGACTATGATTTTTGTGTCGCTTTGTTAGTAGATGTAGTCGAAAACGGAGTCGAAGCTCGAGGGGCCCGAAAGACGTCAACTAGAATACCAAAAAAGTTAAAGTACCGTAAATCATTGTGCCATTTTAGTTAGTGTTGTTTATGAGCGAAGTCGTGAGCTTCCCATGATGTTCATGCTTTCGATTGTAGGAGTTGATTTTGTTCTCAAAGTCCTTTGTATACAATAGTTTGACAGCGTCTGCATCACTCGTTTGGTCTTTCTCCTACACATGCTACGTATTGAGCCGTCTCACATAACTCAATCGAGAGCCCGTGGGGATATCTGTTGTTGCCTCATCCCAAATAAACGCCGGGTGTCCGTTAAAAGGAATGCCATAATAATACAAGAATGCTTCCCTCCCTCTATTCTTTCCTTTCCACTCGTCGTTCGATTAATCGGTCAAGTCGGCAGCCTTCTGCAGACCGCGAGAGTGTCTGTCCACCTCTTCAATCATGTTCTTGACGCCCATCTTTTCGCAATCAATCGTGATTTCCTTGCCGTCCTCTGCACAATATAGCATTAGCTATGGATCACGCTTCCCCCAATGGAATGGCATAAGAAGAAGGGGGAGCAGGGGGTAAAACGTACTGAACTTGACATAAAGCGAAGCAGGCTCCGTCGATGTCCGGGGTAACAAGACAGTCTTGATCAGGGTTCCCGAAGAGCGCGCCGTGGGCGGGATGTTGGACAGAAAGAGGCGCGCGGATTTGGCTGCCGGCGAGAAGGGGTTGAACTTTGTCGTGATCTCGGTCATGAATTTGGTAATCATTTTGGCGGCTCAATTGCTTCTCGTAGATAGATCTATATTTGGTGAGATAGGTATCGTAGAATGGATGGTATCGTCGGCGGTGGACTTCAAGGCGGATTCGGAAGCGTAAGAGGGAGTGATGTCTGGTTAGGCGGGAGGTGGTTCAACTTCGATCAAGTACTTCACAATACACTTCGAAGCTGTCGCCAAAAATTTGGGTCGCGTGGCTCGTGTCGGGTCTCGGGAGGACGGGGGAGCTTGGACGCCGCCGCCGCATGTGGCTTGCCGCACCCCCCGAGCCCGGAGACCATGTGGCGCAGAGGTTGCATATCGGTATAAAGGGGTCTTGGTCCCTCAGTGCCACACATTTCGTCACCGCGAAAGGCCAGCTTTCCGCCCCTACCCTACCTCATCGCATCTCAACTTACAGCACCCCTTTGCGAGCAAACTCCTACGATTTCCGCGCAAAGAACACGCAGTCCGGTAAATCGCACCCACAACAAATCAAACGAGCCAGACACGCAAAGTCGTAGAGGAGAAAAGGGAGAACGAAAAGCCATGTCCTTCGAAGGTCTGCAGGAGCGCCTCACGGCCCTGCAAGAGACCACGACCCAGCTCAAGGAGCTCATCGACCGGCTCCAGAACCTCAAATTCCAGCCGGGATCGGTCCCACTCGGCGGCACGGATGAAGAGAACAGCGTCAGCGCGGAGTTGAGCTCGGAAATCAGCCAGATCCTCCGGGAAGAGGAGGACGAGCTGGAGCTTCTCGGGGAGGAGGTTGAGGATCTCAGGGACGGCAGGCCGGGGAGCGAGGTGGAGCACACAAAACTTCGTCTCAAGGATGGCGTGGAGAGGTTGAAGCAGGAGATCAAGAGGTGAGGTTTCCCCTCCACAAGCTCGACTTCAGTCCACGGAGTATTTCAGGAAATTTGGGCGGGAAATCAAGGTCACTAACACGCAATGCCACAGTTCACGAATCACCTTCCGCAAGGCGCAAATCACAGCTCGGCGCAACCTGTCCCAGGCCCAGCGCCTGGAGCGCGAACTCCTCATCCAATCCTACTCGCAGCCCGTCTCCGAAGCGTCCTCCCCGTCCCTCAGCGCGCAACAGAAGTCCGACACCGTCCACCACCGACAGGTCCGCCAACCAAACAACACGAGCTCCCTGACAGAAGAGGACAGGCAAACGGTCGGCGCCAGCGGCAACGTCACCAGCGCGCTGCGGCGCACGCACGACCTCATCGCGGCGGAGCTGGCCCGCAGCGAGTTTGCGCACCAGACGCTGACCGAGTCCTCGGCGGCCTTGGCGCAGCTCGACGACTCGTACGGTTCGCTCGACACGATGCTGGCGAGTTCCAAGGACCTGCTGGGCACACTGCTCCGCTCGAACAAGAGCGACACGTGGTACCTTCAGACAGCGCTCTACATGCTCATGGCGACGGGTGCGTGGCTGCTGTTCCGGAGGTTGCTGTACGGACCGATGTGGTGGCTGGTTTGGCTGCCATTGCGTCTGGTATATAACCTCACCGTTGGCGGCGGCGGAGCGGTGGTCAAGTACGCCGGATCCGGAAGCCCGTCAGAGGCCGTCGTGGTCAACGAGGGCAGAATTGACGTCGAGGGTTTGCCGGACGAGTCGTTGCCTACCATTGAAGTCGGACGTGAGCCGCAACGATCGGCGGTCGGTGGAGATCCCGAATCACTGGTTGAGAAGGTGGGTAAGATTGTGGAGGAGATGCCGGCAGAGATCGGCGAGGAGACGATGATAGACGAACGCGAGCCGCTAGAGGGTGAGGCTATCGTTGACCAGGTGCCTGGCGACGAGCTGAAGCAAGGGGCGCAAGAAGAGATTATGCAGCGAGACGAGCTCTGAGTAAAGTCGTCAGACGACCAAATGTCGAGGGGCTGTTCTTGCGAAACGCCGAAGCGGTCTCGGTGAAAGAAGAAATATCATCACATGGACGATCTTGATCTTCGGCACTCGTACGTTTAATCCAGCATGCGACGTGTTAGTAGATGTGATGCTGAGAAGCCTAAACCTAGCGGTACCCCCGTTGCAAGCCTGGCGAGGCGGCGTTTCTTTGTTTGCCAGGTATGTGGCATTCCAACCTGACGGCCATGCCGCGATGAGGAATCTGGTAATCATTATTTACGCATACTGGCTGGCGCATCTCGAAGCCTTACCCCAGCTGTAAAAGTTCGTCCCAAAAAGCACACTTGAGAGCTCATTTCGAGAAGCGCCGTTCTAGAAAGGAGGTTTGACATGGAAAGCCAGGTGTAAGTAGCCAATGACATGCTGCGGTGAAGGAGCAGGGTTGCGCCTTTCCTCTGCCACGTTCCCCGAGTGCATTGAACTTGGGCGCCAGGGAGGAGCACAGAAAAGGGCCGGAACGGTCTAGTGTTCGGACGGGGGAGGACGGCATGACGTTGTGAAATTTCCGTTCTCTGGGATTGAGCAACAGGGAGCAAAGTCGGACATGCCGTGGCCTTCGGTTTTGGTGAGACTGATTTCCAAGTTACCAACAGATGGATGTTACCCTAGAGACTTGAGTATCTGTAGGCAGATGTTGTGCTAGATGTTCAAAGGTCCGGATATAATACGAGACAACCCGTAACAGAGTGCACACGATGACAAAATGTGTAGGGATAGCGCTGTCTCATTCGCTGCCAATTTCTCCAACTGCCCACTGCAAACGGTAGTCAGAAGGACTGAAGTGGTGCATCGCCACAAGCGGAGGCCTGACGGCGCTTCCTTCTAGGCGGGACATGGCCCGTAACGCAAGTCCAACGGCTCTACGGCACGGCATTGGTGTGTTGGGAGGTGTTGAGTGGCACTATCCGTGGGATGTAGATCAAAGATCGTTTAGTGAGTGATGTGGTTGCTGGGCATCTCGTATTCATGCAGAATGCGCTTCATACGAAATCCAATGAGGCGAAATGTATTTCTGGACTTGTTGGTTTCGTCCTCAATCTGACTGCAGCCAGCAACGGCATTCGGTCTCTGACTCTCTGGTGTGTGTATCCATCCGCCTCAGCCCTCGAATGCCCGTGTAAGTGGTTGACCTGACGGCTAACGGCATATGACGATGATCGGCTGTCGGTCGGGAATAGAGTAGACACAAATGAAGCCCGGCGAACATAAGCTCGTTTGAACGGATATCCATTCCATCCCGTAAAGAGCCGTCACTAGGAGGTGCTTCGAAACGAACCTAGGTCACAAGGGGGAGGATTCTCAGTGGACTGATGGATCTTCATGACCCGTCACCGGTGTCGCTCCTTGACTATTCAGTCGGTATTCACCATAGTTGGCCGTCCCACCGCCGAGAGAGAAAAAACTTGGCGGCAGGTTGAGATTCGCTCAGGTTCCGACCTTCCGTTTCATCTAGTGTTCGTCTTAGAGGATTGGAATGGCCGTTCAGGTGCTAGCCGGCAGCGCATCTCAACCTTCCCAGGTACACCCGATGGAGCGCTTGCGCAGTGGTATAGAGTGTGGCGCTCCAGCGCTTTGTCCGGTCGACAGGTCGACAGCGCTGGTCGTCTGGCCCCTGAGACAAGGGCATGTGCCCTCGGCCAATGGCACGGTGCCATTTGCAAGGAATCCCTGCATTACTCGAGGAGACGCGCCTAGGTCGTGTCACGCTGGTCGTTGAGGGTTCGTCCGTGACATTCGTCTGTTGTTTTATTTCCTTTTGCTGATGTTTCCCAAGCCGCTTGTCTGTCAACACCGTCTGAACATTTTTCTGCCTCTCTTGCCTTATAGGCACAAGCAAGCCTCTGCAGCTATATTGCCGTGGTTGCATCGATAGCGTGATGTATGGATACAGGGCTCAAGTTTGGCTCAAATTGAGGCGTCAATGCCTCCAATACTAAACACAATGTGTCAAATGGGGCCTTGTATCCGCGTGGTAGTGGTGGATTGGTGGTGGACGGAGGCTAAAGCCGTGGCGAGGTTCGATCGAGGGCCTCAACGAAATGCAGAGGGAAATACGAACAGACCACCAGACCAACGGCCCTCCACACTGATGTAATACCTCGCTGGCCTAGGACCCGGCAAGTCCTCTGGATGGAGACATTGCAAGGGACGAGAGAGCTGACAATTGGCTCCCGCTGCAAACAATGAGAGGAGATTCGAAGAGGCCCTGGCAATGCTGGGAGAGGGAGAGAGCAAAAAGTCAAAGTGCAATTTTAAAATTGGGATTAAACAGTTGGCCCGGGCCCACTTTGGCAGGCATGGTCTGCACCTCGTTCCTGCCCCGGGAGTATTTTCTCGCTCTTGCTTTCGCTTTCGAAGCGGACGGGAGGGAAGAAGGAACCTGCCACGCCTGCCTAGGAAGTGAGTGGGCTCTCACCTCCTTCCCAGAGGCTGTTGTACTCCGTACTCTGTACCTTAGGTTCCTGCCTTACCTCGAAAAGGCTCCATGTGCCTAACCTTAAGGCTATATGCAGTACGTACCTGCCTTAGGTCACGTCCTGACTTCAGTCCATGGCGCAAGTCCCAATCTTTCCCCAGACGCGGCGCGATCCAATTCGATCGTCGACCTCCATCCAACCTTGCTTTGGGCTCCCCTTTTTTTCGCTTATGTTTGGCTTTTGAGTCCTTCCGCCCACATCAACAACAAGGGACGGGGGCAACCGGCTATGAGTCGAGTCACAAGTCACAAGCTCAATCCGAGAGGAGAATCAGGTCTTTTTGGCCGGCTTGGCTCCTAGTACATGGTGCTGCTCCGTATGTACTACTCTGCTCTCTTGGTTGTCGTCTCTTGCTAATACCTACGCAGTAAAACTTTCCACGTCCTCGTTGAGCCCACACCCTGTCTACCCACCCCAGAATCCGCCCTTGCAAGTTGCGTGCAGACACAAGCGTGTTCCCGGCCCATCGACACACGAAGAAGATCAATGGGCCACACAACTTTGCAGCTGAAGAGGTGAAGGGGGTGGGTGGGCAGCGCAGGGAAGAGACCACACTACCAAGGCTAATCATAGCATGGCACCTGGGGGCGCGCCTTGGCTTGTTACCCCGAGCGGGAAAAGGTCGACATTGGATCCAGAGATGGGTTTTCGCGAGGAACACCACACACTATTAAACCCACCTCCAGTCCATCCACTCTGTTCCTGGTCTCCCTTCCTTTCCTCCCTCCTTCTCCAGCCTCTGCCATACACTCGTTGCTCGATCACTTGTTTCAAAACGCCTACATTCGCTGTTTGTGCCCGAATATCAACAACTTACACTATTCTTAATACACCCGTGTAACACCACAGACCAACCACCAGTCAAGATGCGTTTCACCTCCATCATCGTTACCGGCGCTTTCGCCGTCCTGGCCGCCGCCCAGTCTACCACCAGCACCGCCGCTTCCGCTGCCTCCTCCGCCCAGGCTGTCATCGAGAAGTGCTTGTCTGGCTGCCCCGCCACCGACGTCAGCTGCCAGGCCAAGTGTATCTCTGTACGTTTAGGAACCCAAAGACAGTGTCCGCCTGAAGAATTTGCAAGAAAGGACTAACACGTCGTGCTCACAGGTCCCCAACCCCAACGAGGACCAGGTCAACAAGACCACCGCCTGCGTCGCCAAGTGCCCTCAAGGTGACGGCAGCGAAGCTCAAACAAATGCCTACGCGGCTTGCTCCCAAAAGTGTATTGCCGAGAACTACTTCAGCAGCGGCTCTACTCCCGCCGCCACCGCGGGATCCGGCTCTGGCTCAAGCGGCAGCGCGACTGCTGCCACCGCTACCGGTTCCGCCGCCACTGGCTCCGCCACCGGCACTGCTACCCGCGCTTCCGGTTCATCTGCTGCCTCCGGCACCGAGGCTGCCTCCAGCTCATCATCTACCGCCAACGCTGCTCCCGCTCTTGCTGGCTCTGCTTCCTTCGGTATTGTCGGTCTCATCGGCGCTGCTCTCCTCATCTAAGTACATTGGCTATTTGGATGATGAACATAAAAGGGGGATGAGAGGATGGGTTGAACGAATGTATGGATTCACAGAGAGAGGTATATACCATTTGGGAGATGATTGCTATATATGTGGTCAATGATTTAATAGGCAGATTACAAGGATACGTGTTAATGTACTAGCGGACACCCACGTCTGCCAATCTTCAATATCACACTATCTTCCTCATACTCCGTGTGCGCTTCAACCTCGTGTCCTTCTGTATGACATGCGGGTGCAAGGATCGAGTAGAGCGTAGGTTTAACATGTCGGTGGCGCTGACTTTTTACAGCAAAATCTGTTCCATTGCGCAATGCGATTTGCTTTCTCACGTATCGGGGTTGGTTTCGCACACGAGTGAGTTAGCCCTATTACATTGTTCCACATAGGGACGTCACAAGACTCTTCCAAGTGGGCGACACAATGGATTGCCGCCCAACACGAAGTGCCTAGCTCTATTTCTATCCTTCCCATCGTTAATTTATCTACTATTGTCATTATTATTATCATTATCACTTTCTATCTTTGAAATGTCCTACATAGAATACATCTCAGGAAGTATAACATAGATACAATGACAGTGATAGTAATGATAATAATAGGAATAATAAGAATGATAGTGGTAACAGGAATAGTAGAAAGAGTGATAGGGAGGGTATTGAGCGGCATCCCATTCTGTCACCCACTTGCCTTCGTCATAAGATCCGATTTCTTCGGCTAATCTTCTTTCAGGACCTGGTCGGAACAGTCACTGGAATGTCGCTGATCCAGGGGACGCCCAACTGTTTCATCTCAACGGCCAATTGGAAGAGGTAGTCCAGGCTGCGCAACGTTCTCGTTAGCATATCTCCACGCTTTTCTCTGTGAGACAGACGATAGGTATGAGGGAAAATCAGGAACAAGGGATGGGGATGGGGGGGAAGAGGAATGTTTCCAAGATGGAAAGAGCGGGTAGGGGTATCGCCCGCCACCTTTTCTTCTGCAACGAGGAGAAACATCATAATCTCTCTCGCGGAGAGACTGAAACTCGAACTTCGAACTCACCTCTCGCACTGCGTCTTGGCCTTGTGGACGTTATCCCCCCAAACATAGACGCCGTGCCTCCGCACCAGCACGGCGTAGGTGTCAGGGTACTTATCCATGGCCTCCTCCAGGAACTCGGTCAGGTCCTCCTCGTGAGCCGTGTTCTCGATGACGGGAATCCGGAGGGTATCGTGGTACCCGAGGTTCCCTTGCTTCTGGAACCCCTTTCCGAAGCCCTTGATCTGTTCGATATTGTTGATCTCGAACAGCTTGTCGTTGCCGGCAGCGGTACGGCCCTGGCTCTCGAGGATCAGGGTGACGAGGACGGCCCAATGGGAGTGCGTGTGGATGCAGCAGCCGGCGCCGCGGCGGGTGAAGGCGGCGAGGAAGAGAGGGGTGCACTGGGAGGGCTTGTAGGCGGGCGGGGAGCGGAGGTAGACGCGATTCTTGAGGGATGCTTCTTGCGCTGCGAGGGAGAGGACATAGATGTCCTGGGGCTTCATGAGTTCTTTTTGGACGCCTGAGGGGGCGAGGTAGACGAGGTCGCTGAGAGGGTGTAAGTGAGAGTCATGGTTTTCTTCCTGTGTTTTTGTTCACAGCGTGTGGGAGGTGAAGTTTGTGAGCGAAGGGGGGGGAAAGAGGGTGTTTGCCTTCTTCGCATGAGAAATGAGGAAGCAAATGTGGTTATTCAAGTGAGGTGCTCGATAGCTTTTGCTGTGGGCAAACACAGCCCATTGTTAGAAATGCAATTATGAGATGTATAGACTTACTCATCTCGGATGGAGCAGCCACCGCCGGTGCCGGTGACCCAGCCTAGTGTCCAGAACTTTGCGCATAGGGAGGGAATGAGATTCGCAGGGTGGTTCGGGTCCTTTGAGGTGACGAGCTGGTCGGGGTTCTCAATCTCAGTTGTGGACGCCATGGTGGGCTGGCTTCTGAGATGAGTTTCGCGGGGTAAAGATGGGTAGTGAACGGGGGTTTGTCGAAGTCCGAGACTGTGTTATCCTTGATATGGCTCCCGCAAGCACATGTAGACGGTAGTGAAGAACACGAGGGTTCGTAATTTGAAAAACAGGGATACGTCTCGAGTATCCTGGAATTTCAGAGCTCACGAAGCGATGTATTCACTCAGTAAAACCAAGTTTCTCAGTCACAGGAGTCGGGAAATTTTCTCACCAGCCACACGAGCATGAGGCTGAGGTTAAAGCTGAGCCAGTGGTAGTTGTCGGATTCTCCACATGGCAAGCACGCAAAGGCACAGAACGCTCCTCCACTCCAAGGACTCGAGTTACCCTTACAAGACAGTGACAAGAAGCTCTTGCGATTGGTCAATCAGCGCCATCTCGCAGCTCTCTCTCAACTCGGGTCCATCGACAGCCCCAATTACAAATGGGCGCTTCTCAAGCTCCAGGTCATAGCTGGTAAATGCGACGGCGAGAGTTGACTGCAAAGCCACATAGTTACGGATACGGGTACACGGATTGGCAAAAAAAGGAAAAGGAGACGGGTACCAGCAGGTGGTGCTAGAAGAGATGATGAGACAAACTGGTGAAGAATCGGCAGCTAGTCTGGTCGCTGGTTGAGGCTGATTAGGCGTCCTGCAGGTGATGCGAGGGGAGAAAGAGGACACCTAGCCTTTTTCGATGATGGTCGAACGCCCATGTTTCTATTTATCCCGTCGAGTGGGGACCGCCTACCCAGAAGCTTTCGTGAGATATTAGGACAAATTACAAGCCTGACTCCTGTCATATTAAATCAGCAAACCCGCCTGCCCGAAACGGACGTCTTTCGATCAATGGAGCCAGTGAAACTCAGCCGAGATCGCTTTGTACGAGTGTCAATCAGACGATTGGCTTGGACCGAGGTATATCTGTGCATTTCGCAGTCTTGTCTGCTCAATGCGCACCCAATGAGTGGTATTGCTGTCCTGGTCTACCTACGGGATACTGTATATAGTATCACTAAAGCAATGAATGGCAAGGGCAACTTCAACGGCGTGGCACTGATGCAGTCAATCTCGAGACATCTCGGGATCAGCCGTTAACCTCAGATGCTAGCCTCGATTGAATCGCAATACATTGTAGAATGCATGTTCCTGTGAGCAATGACCCAACGGCTGTTTTCCTTCCACCACCTCGCGCCAGACAGCAAACCGAGTTAAGGTCGGAAGAGCTCAGTCCATCAACCGGGATCAGCAATTGAGACTTTGGAAGCTCGTCGAAACAGCATGAATATCCCCTCCTTCCCTTCACTGTTAGAACCGGTGGATACCGTTCCCTCGCCAAGGGCCCCCGCACTTTCCTAGCCACAGTCCGCAGCCCGCATGTCATTGTCAGCAAAAGGAAGCCCACTGTAAAAAGGTACCGCGGCGGCTTTGCATTGGCTACACCGGGCTGTGGTGCGCAGCGGCGTGCTACCCCGACGACCCCTGAAGCTAGGTAGCAGACGCATGCTACGGCAACTGCTCTCGCTGCTGGTCCCCCCGAAAAATCTCCAATTTTCTGTCAGTTTGATTGGCTCAGAATCTCTGGCTTGCCGAACCTTACCCCGACGGGCCACACCTTAGTGAGCTCTCCCCTACCTGGCCTTTTTTGGGTGCTGCTTCTGGTCGCTGAGGTTTTGCTGGGGACCTTTACCGCAAAAAAAGGACACGTTGAGCACAACCCGCTTGCGCGTGCCTGCCTCACGGACTGATAAATCCGTCGTCTTCCTCGCCCCATTCCTCCTTCCGAAACTCTTTTCCCTCTCCTTGGGAAATTCCTCCTCGAAAATACCAATCCTCTCCATCCATCGTGTCGGGAGCCCTTTCTACCCCTTTGTCATTCAATTGACAATCCCTCTCTTACAACACAACAGCTTTAACGCTACTTTACCCCCTCATACACCTGAATCCGATTGAAGCCGAGACACCGATACCACACTCTCGCCCATCATGAAGTTCAACGCTGCTGCGTTGTCCGCCGCGGCCTTGTTCGCTGGCGCCTACGCCGACGATGCTCAGAAGGTCCTCAGTGAGGATAAGACCTCCACTGCCGCTGAGTCCTCTACCTCGGTCACTCCCCAGCTGTCCACCTTCACGGTAAGCTCTCCTCTTCTCCTTGCCAATGGCTTTCTTTGTTGCTCCGAGTGAACCACCCCCTCACTGTCCATTCGCTGCAATCTCATGCCTACCGCATGAGCTCAATGCACAAGGGGAACGAGCTGGGACACTCTTTGGAGCTTCTCCGCACCTGCTCTATCGGCCATGAAATAAGCAATTATCTGACCACAGTTTTCTTTATTCTACAGCCCACTACCCTGAAGGCTCCTTTCTTGGAGCAGTTCACCGACGACTGGGAGACCCGCTGGAGCCCTTCTCACGCCAAGAAGGACTCCAAGGATGACGAGGAATGGGCCTACGTTGGCGAGTGGTCTGTTGAGGAGCCTACTGTCTACAAGGGCATGGAGGGCGACAAGGGTCTTGTTGTCAAGAACCCCGCCGCTCACCACGCCATCTCGGCAAAGTTCCCTAAGAAGATTGACAACAAGGGCAAGACCCTCGTTGTTCAGTATGAAGTCAAGCTTCAGAGTAAGTTTCCGGTCCCTGCGCCCATACTACAGCCTCATGATAGAATGCTGACAATCGTTCCTTCTCAGACGGTCTTGAGTGCGGTGGTGCCTACCTCAAGCTTCTCCGTGAGAACAAGGCTCTTCACTCCGAGGAGTTCTCGAACGCCACTCCCTATGTGATCATGTTCGGTCCCGATAAGTGCGGCCACACCAACAAGGTTCACTTCATCTTCAACCACAAGAACCCCAAGACTGGTGACTACGAGGAGAAGCACCTTACCTCTCCCCCCACCGCTCGCATTGTCAAGACCACCGAGCTCTACACTCTCATTGTTCACCCCAACAACACTTTCATCATCCAGCAGAACGGCGAGCAGGTCAAGACCGGCTCCCTTCTTGAGGACTTCTCCCCCGCCGTCAACCCTGAGAAGGAGATTGACGACGCCAAGGACTCCAAGCCTGAGGACTGGGTTGATGAGGCCCGTATCGCCGACCCCGAGGCCAAGAAGCCCGAGGACTGGGATGAGGACGCCCCTTACGAGATTGTCGACGAGGAGGCCACCAAGCCCGAGGACTGGCTCGAGGATGAGGCCCAGACCATCCCTGACCCCGAGGCCCAGAAGCCTGAGGACTGGGACGATGAGGAGGATGGTGACTGGGTCGCACCTACCGTTCCCAACCCCAAGTGCACTGAGGCTTCTGGCTGTGGCCCCTGGACCAAGCCCATGAAGAAGAACCCCGATTACAAGGGCAAGTGGACCGCTCCCTACATTGACAACCCCGCCTACAAGGGTGTCTGGGCTCCCCGCAAGATCAAGAACCCCGACTACTTCGAGGACAAGACCCCCGCCAACTTCGAGCCCATGGGCGCTGTAAGTATTCCCGATGATGTGCGCGTGTCTCTTCGACTGCTAACGAATGAATCAACAGATTGGCTTCGAGATCTGGACCATGCAGAACGACATCCTCTTCGACAACATCTACATTGGCCACTCCGTTGAGGATGCCGCCAAGCTTGCTGAGGAGTCCTTCAAGGAGAAGCACCCC